ACACACATAAAAAAAGTGGTAATTGGACAAAGAAAGTACCAAACAACTTTTGGCAGGCAACATAATCTTTCACTATAATGTAGTAGAGTGCAAGCTCATTTTGGCATTTAGACTGAAAAAAAAGCTATTAATAGCTGATATAACAAAGTCGAAGTGTATTGGTTTTGTGCATGGAGTGTCAGAGGTAGGACCACAATCACATTGTCATTATTTTGATCCTAGACCTAGATCTAGATATTAGATCTAGAAATCTAGATTCTAGATCTATAAAATCTAGAATCTAGACTATATTTTCTTCTATTCATCAAAATATATTCTTACTTAAGTAGGCAATCTTGCCGTTTGTCATCCTTTGGAAATCGAAAGAAACTAAAATTTGGATTTAAATTGGTGCAAAACACCATTGACACTTCACTTCGTGCTAACTTGGGCCATACTCGTCTTCGATCAACGAAAATGCCTTGAACAATGGACGCAGTTTGTTTTGTTTACCTCGCGTTTTTCCACGATCAGCTGGTGACCCAGATACGCTCATCCGAGCGAAGTGACAGCTGGTGACAGCTCTCCTGTAATTAGCCTACTGTAGCCTAGGCTAGGCCCAGATCTTAAACTCTCTGATCTAGGTCTAGATCTAGATTCTAGGTCTAATGATGAACACTGCCTTTGTTAATGATTTAGATCTAGATTTAAATCTAAGAAAAAGAAACTGAAAGGAAACGCTTGCTTCATCCACGCCACGGTTAGGCCCTGTATTTTATGGTCTCTGATTAGGCCCTAGGCCTAGAGAAGTGAAGAAAAATTAGAGGGCTCTTGTGACCTAGATGATAAGGTGTAGCGATGGTTGCGACCGAAAAATTTTCTTCTCTAAAAATTGTCTCCTTTCTCCTTTCTGTCGTCAGCTTTGGTCTCCACTTTCTTCCCCCACCTCCCCCTCCACTGGGCTTCTGCTGACTCTTTGTGCAGCCTTTCTACTGCTATTCCTTGGCTCCTTCTTACGGTTGTCTTTCAGCCACATCCTGATCTTCTGGTAGGAAAGATCTACACCTAGCCTTCTCGGACGAGGGCGAAAAATCTCGGAGGTCTGGTGTGCAAGTTGCGCACGATAAAGATCCCATGGTCCCTCGGTGGCTAAAATCGATAAGAGTAGGCTTCGGCCGCCACCCGGGCAAAATTCAAAATTTCCTACCAATTGAAAATGTTTGGTGTGTCCCGCGCACTCATATGACATTATGCAGTTGCGAGCGCCGTAAAATACTTACCATAAAAAAGAATAAAAATATGACTTTCATTGGTCATGGTCACATTTCTTTCAAATTCAAATAGATCATATTAGGCAAAGAGGTTATATAATATAATACTAGAGCTCACAGCAATGAAGTCGAACGTCAGACATGGGGGGTTCTTACACTTTCCAGGCGTAAGATTATATTATTTGAATGTCCCCTTCGGTGTTGGAAAAAAAGAGCGAAAAACTTGCTTTATATTGCCCAACGTGTGGAAAAACGTCAGTGTCTTCGATTTTCATTATCTTGACGAACGCCTGATTTCCTCACGATGCTATACATATCCTGTCGTCTAGACTTGGGTGGTTGGCGGGCCCTCTGGTGGGGTTTAATCTTTCTTTTCTATCAACTAATGGTATTGTCCTTATCTCACCTTCTTTGCGGGTGGTTTGGTGTGTTCTGGTGTGATTTAATCCTTTTTGCCTATTAATAGGCCTATCCATAGTCCTTATCTCCTTCTTCTCTTTCCTTTGTTTGCGTGTGCGTGTGTGGGTTTTTTGTGTGGGTTTTTTTTCTTACTATGTAGTGATATTTGGCACTCTTGTGATCATTATTGTGTTGAAAATGCCGCAAAACTCTGACTAAAACTTCTAAACGTCTTATCCTTGTATATTACTCTCTTGTAACATCTCTAGATTTCGGCACTTATATAATAACCTGATGACATCGGTGGCCTCGTGGTTAGGCTACCGGACCTGCAATCGTGAGAATGCGTGTTCAGGTGTTCAAGCTTCAGCTCGGTTCAACGTTGTGTCATTAGGAAAGGCGCTTTTCACGAATTTCCCTCTCTTGGCTCGGTCTTTTCAAAGATGGACGTTAAAACTCGGAGGTCCCGCCTCTTAAATAATCTAATAGTGTTGTTAGGAGCATTAAACCAATACAATTTCTTAATTTTTAAATGACCTTTTAAGAGTGTCGTAAAATTCTTTCTATAACCAAACCGAACAAAACAACACCCACCCCCCAAAAAAAACAAAAAAACAAAAAAACAAACCCCACCACACAGACCTGTCATGCCAAGCATTTGCAACGCGGTGGAAGACAGGTAGAGTGTGTATACATGCACATCGAGCCTGCTCTTACGACCACCTGTCCAAAACAATCACCTAATATACTGGATACAACCCACCACTTGTCATTTCTCCCTGTGCGTTTTTTCATTGTATTAAGCTTACTATAATGACACGGGG